ATACAGTGTTCAATAGAAATGATGATAGAGGGCATCCTTATGTGGTTCCCATTCATAAGGGGAATGCTTTCAGTCCCTCCATTGAGAATAATGTTGGCTATTGATTTTGTATATATGCCCTTTATTATATTGAGGAATTTCCCTTCTATTTCTGTATTTTTCTTAGAGTTTTTATCAGGAATGGGTGTTAGAGTTTATCAGATGCCTTTTCTGCATCAGTTGATGTGATCATGTGGTTCTTTTCCTTTATTTTAATTATGTGGTGGATTATGTTGATTGCTTTTCTTATGTTGAACCATCCTTGTATACCTGCTATGAATCCCACATGGTCATTGTGTGTTATTTTTTTGATACGTTGTTGTAGTCTATTGGCTAGGATTTTGTTGACCATTTTTACGTCTGTGTTTGTGAGGGATATTGGTCTGTAGTTTTCCTTTTAGTGGTGTCTTTGCCTGGTTTTGGTATCAGTGTTATACTTATTTCATAAAATGACTTTAGGGGGATTCCATCCTTTTCTGTGTTCTGGAATAGTTTGAGTAGGATTGGTGTCAGCTCTTCTCTGAATGTTTGGTAAATTCTCCAGTGAAACTCTCTGGGCCAGGATATTTTTTGTTGGTAGTTTTCTTATGACCTATTCGTTTTCTTCTTTTGTTATGGGTCTATTCAAATATTCTACCTCAGTCTGTGTTAGTTTGGGTAATTACTGTGTTTCTAGAAATCTGTCCATTACATCTAGGTTTTTACATTCAAATATCCTGATATTTTTTTATTTTTATTTCAGTTGGTTCTATTGTGACACCTTCCATTTCATTTCTTAATCATGTTATTTGCATCTTCTCCTCTTTTCTTTTGTTAAATTTGCCAGTGCTTTGTTGATTTTATTAGTCTTTTCAAAGAATCAGCTGGTCTTGTTGTTTTTTTTTTTTTCTGTTGTCTATTTTCTGTTTAATTTATTTCTTCCTCTGTTCTGGTTACCTCTGTGCTGCTCTGACAGAATATACCACAAATGAGATGCTTGAACAAACGGGAGTTTATTCTCTTACAGTTTGGAGGCTTTAAGTCCAAGTTCAAAGTGCCAGGCTCTAGGGGCTGGGTAAAAGGCCTTTGACCTTGGGCTTCAGCTCTGCCTCTTGCTCCTGGCCCACTGAAGCTAGAGGCATCTCTTCACTCAGGCAGCTACTGGCTGCTGAGGCTAACAAGCCCATGGTCAACAAATAAAATGGCATAGTCCCCATTGTTACCAAGCCACACAGCAGGCCATTAATTCACGTCCATTATAAGTCCCCAGGTTGGCAGAGCATGTTAGGCTGCTGAACAGTGACACAGCTATGTGCAGGGTCCAAGTATGCCATAAGCTAGAAACTATCCGCAAGGCTTCTCCTTATATACAGGAAGCAGATCATATCCCAAACACAGCTCCTCAGCTGCTTGTGGTAGATCCTACCATGGAGTTCATTGCCAGTCTCATCATGGGGAATAACTACCACCAGCTGCCCAGTCACTCAACCAGGCCCAGCCAAGTTGACATACAAATTCAACTACCACATCCTCTAACCTATTATTTCTTTTCTTCTGGTCACTGTAGGCTTTCTGTGTGTGTGTGTGTGTGTGCTCTTTTTCTGATTGTTGAAGATGTTGGGTTAGGGAGTTGATTTTGGCTCTTTCTTCTTTTGATTTGCGCATTTATTGCTATAAATTGCTCTCTGATCACTGCTTTTGCTGTGCCCCAAAGATTTTGGTATGCTGTATTTTCAGTCTCATTTGATTCAAGGAATTTTTTCTTATTTAATTTTTTATTTCTTCTGTTATCTGGTTGTTTCTAGGAGAGTGTTACTCAGTTTCCATGTGTTTGCTCTTTTTCCATTGATCTTTCTATTGCTGATTTCTAATTTCATAGCATTGTGATGTGAGAAGATGTTCTGCAGTGTGTTGATGTTTTTAAATTTATTGAAGCTTACTTTGTGACCTAACATATGGTCTATTCTGGAGAATGTTCCATGTATACTGGAAAAGAATGTGTATTGTGCTGTTGTTGGGTGATGTGCTCTGCAGAATGTCTATAAGGTCAAGTTAGTTGATTGTATTGTTTAGTTTTTCTGTATCTTTGTTGAGTTTCTTTCCAGTTGTCCTATCTTTCATTGAAAGTGCTGTATTAAAGTCTCCTACTATCACTGTGGAGTCATCTGTCTTTTCAATTCTGTTAAAGTCTGATTTATGTATTTTGGGGCTCTTTCATTGGGTATGTACATATTTATTATGGTTGTATCCTCTTATTCCGATGATCCTTTAATCATTATATAATATCCTTCCTTGTTTCTTACAGTGCTTTTTGTCTTAAATCTATTTTATCAGAAATCATTGCCACTCCTGCTCTTTTTTGATTGCCATTTGCTTGATACATCTTTTTCCAACCTTTGATTTTTAGTTTATTTTTGTGTTTGTTCTAAGGTGAATCTCTTGTAGACAGCATATTGATGAGTCAGGTTTTTTTATCCAGTCTGCAACTTGAGTGATGCTTTTAATCCATTTGCATTCAGTGTAATTATCAACAAGTATGAATTTTTTGCTATCATTTTATTACATGTTTTTTCATGATGTTGCTGATTTCTTTGTTCCGTATAGTTTTCGGTGCTGAGCTCATTTTGTTTATGAAATTTGTTATTTCTTTCATTGCTATTGTTTGACTATTTGCTAAATATTCATGCCTCTCCTCTTTTTTATTTTGATGTGAAGGTTTATTCATTTTTTTCTTCGAGGTTACCCTGTGATGTAGTATTTTCTTCCCAAGTTTAGAATAGTCTCTTCTATCTTGCAATCATCTTGACTGCTTCTCCACTTGGAAATTCTATTCCTACGGAAGGAAGATGGGGCAGTCTACTTCCGTAGTGATACTGCTTCGGAAACCCAAGGAGTGGTCGCTATGAGTCAGGTCTGACTTGATGGCACATAACAACAACAACAACATACTGTTTGTTCCATCTTTTTATTTTCATTTGTCCTTATTTAGCAGTTAATATCTCTGGTTCCCTTTTTACAGTCTTGTAAGTTTATTTTACTTTGGATACTTCCGTATCTGGATTGATTTCTGGGTCGTCATTTGTGTTAATCATTGCTTGTTGTCTGCTGTTGTGGTTCTCTGTCCAGAGGACTCCCATTAGTATTTCTTGTAAAGTTGGTCTGGTTTTAACAAAGTCCCTTAATTTCTCTTTATCTGGAAATATCCTGATTTTACCATCATATTTAAGGGACAGTTATGCTGGGTATGTAATTCTTGGTTGGCAATATTGTTCGTTTATGGTTTTATATGTGTGATTCCATTGCTTTCTCACCTGCATGGTTTCTGCTGAGAAATCAGAACTTAGTCTTACTAGTTGCTCTTTGTAGATAACTTTTTGTTTTTTCCATTCTCCTTTCAGGATTTTTTCTTTGTCTTTGATTTTTGTAACTTTGATTATGATATATCTTAGTGATTTCCTTTGGGGTCTGTCCTGTTTGGGGTTCCTTAAGCTTATTGAATGCATATCTTCTCATCTTTAGTCATATTAGGCAAGTTCTCTTTCAACAGATCTTCGACAGTTTTTTCTGTGGTTTTGTCTCTTCCTGTTTTGGCATTCCTATCACATGTAAGTTATCCTTCTTGATGATATCCCACAAAATCATTGGGTTGGTTTTTTTTTTTTATTTTTTCGCTGTTGTTTTGTTTTTTCCTGATTAATCCCTTAACAGTACTGTTGAGAGATTTCCCTTCAGTCTCACTGATTCTGTCTTCCATTGATTCACTTTTGCTTTTTTGACCTTTCAACGTGTTATTTAAATCTGAAATCTTCTTATTAACCTTTTGGTTTTCTGTTTGCTGTTTTTGTGTGGTTTATAAATTTTAATTTATTTTGTCAGTTCTTTTATTGTTTTCCTAAATTGTTTTAGAGTTTTGCCTGTGTTTTTTATGCTTATTCTTGTACCAAAACTTTGTTATTTTATTATAAAAATTTTGATTTTTTTAATAATCTTATGATGCTAGCTTTGTTCCTTCAAGTTGATTTATAGTTTTTTTAATTTATTTTTTAACACCATTTATTCTTTCAAATAATTAATGTTGTAATCGCAAAGTTATAAATACAGAGTTCTCCTATGAAAGTTAATTTCTTAGGTCTGAAATTTCTTGTTCTTATTTTTAAAAAATTAAAGTATATTAAGTACAGATCAAGCCTGGTGATTGTTAGTCAGCATAAAAGCGGAGATACTCCAATATAATCATATACTTACACTTATGGCTTCAATGAAAGCAGTTTTAAGAGATAGTTAAAACAAACAAAAGGGTCAGAATTAATTTTATTTATATATGATTCCGTTCAGTGAATTTGCTCTTTTTTCTTGGGAGGCTAATGCACACATATACAAATGTGATGTATGTAATTGTTGTTGTTAGTATTAGGTGCTATTGAGTCAGCTCTGACTCATAGCGACCTTGTGTACAACAGAACAAAATCTACCCAGTCCTGCACCATCCTCACAGTCTTTGCCATGCTTGAGTTCATCGTTGCAGCCACTGTGTCAGTGCATCTTATTGAGGGTCTTCCCCTTCTTCTCTGATCCTCTGCTTTACCAAGCATCATATCCTTCTCCAAGGAATGGTCTTTTCTGATAACATGAGCAAAGTAGGTGAGACAAAGTCTGGCCATCCTTGCTAACAAGGAACATTCTGTTTGCCCGTCTTCCAGGACAGATTTTTCATTCTTCTGGCAGTCCATGATATTCTTTGCCAACACCACAATTGAAAGGTATCTTGTTTGATCTTCCTTATTTGTTGTCCACCTTTCACATGTATATGAGGCAATTGAAAATAACACATATGTAATTAAACATTAATAAATATGACACAGATAAGAAACACATATGTAACTAGATGGGTTTTTAGAAGGATTCGATAGTTGTCTCAATACTTAACCTCTCAAGCTTTCAGAAGCCTGGAATAGGTGACTAACTGTTTTCTTTCACATCAGGCAACACTGGACTATGGTATGTATTCTCGAGAAGAAGAACTATTAAGAGAAAGAAAACGCATTGGAACAGTTGGAATTGCTTCTTACGATTATCACCAAGGAAGTGGAACATTTCTGTTTCAAGCTGGTAGTGGAATTTATCATGTAAAAGATGGAGGGCCACAAGGATTTACTGTAAGTTTGAGTGGGTTGTCCTTGAGTCTGTTTCAACACATGGTGGCTCCATTTTTGCAAAGTAGAACTGCTCCTTAGGGTTTTCAAGGCTGTGACCTTTTGGAAGGCAGATTGTCAGGCCTGTCTTATGAGGCATCTCTACATGGGTTGAAACTCCCAACCTTCTGGCTAATGGTAAAGCTCTTAACTGTTTGCACCACCCGGGGACTCCTAAGTTTGAATGTACTGCTTGTTAAATCTTTTATTAGGTCCTATAGGGTTTTTTGCACCCAAATCAGAAAGATACTTAACAAACAAACCAAAAATCTGTTTACCTAACCACTAAGAAATTTAGTAGTCAAAAACAGGAAATACGGTATTAATTTCTAATTTTAAGAATTAATTTTTCTAATGTCGTTAATACATAATTTTATAAAATGCTAAATACACTTACTATAATATAAAAAAAGAGAAAAGGACATTCATTCTCATTTTTTTGTGTAAATGCTGATAGGAATTTTGGAAGATAATGTTACAAAGGCAATCCGTTTTTTAGTTCCCTTCAAAGTTTAATTTACCTTAATAAATTAAGGTAGATTTAAAATGTTTGATTTTATTCCATGAATATTTTGGTGTATTACTAGAACTAGTATTTTATAGAGTTGTAATGATTCTGGTTTTTATCATATTTTTATGACAAACTATTTTAAATTTGTAAAATTAACTTTAAATATTTAATAAATAAAATAATAAATAGTAAGTACCCCATTAAACCAGTTTGAGCAATAAAGTGCTATTGTAACTTCTCTCCTCTCCTATTAACCTTCACATTCTAATTCATAGTAAACAAATTTAGTCCTTCCTTAAAATGAAGGCATATGAAAGTACATATTTTTCTGTGGAACAGTTATCATAGTTGATATTTACCTAGAAATATTTTTATAGGAAGGATGCTGGCAAACAAATGTGTGTACATCAGCTTAATACCTGCTTTAAAATGTTGTTTACTTTTCTAGCAACAACCTTTGCGTCCCAATTTAGTGGAGACAAGTTGTCCCAACATACGGATGGACCCAAAATTATGCCCCGCTGATCCAGACTGGATTGCTTTTATACATAGCAATGATATTTGGATATCCAACATTGTAACCAGAGAAGAGAGGAGGCTCACTTATGTGCACAATGGTAATGCATAATTCTTCAAATATACATTCCTTACAGAACTATTTTTTAAATTTAGTTTGCTTTTGCATATGTTTTGAAATTGAAGCAAGTTGGGTGATCTTTGTATTTTAAATTCCAATCTGGTTTTGGCTCTGTCGTTAATTCAAAAATCCAAAAAACTCTGGAAATGGAAATTTTTTCATTAGCTTAAATCTGCCCTGAACTGGCTTGAAGATGCTTATAATCTTAATCCTCCTTAGTATGCCTATTCAGAAGTTTGCTGTAAGAATATTGGTGCATATGATTACAGGGTATTTGATACTCTGCTGAAAATATTACATAATATGGGACAGATGTATAATTTATGTAAAATCCTCAAAATTCGGAATTCAGAACACTTACAGACTCAATTTTTGGTTATGGGATTATTGGTTTGTGCTGCATGTTCATTTCATACAATGTAGAAAATACAGACAAAAATAATAAATTGAAACTTGCAAATAAAATCACTACTACACACCCATTAGACTGACTAAAATGAAAATGATTGAGAATATCAGGTGCTGGAGAGGCACTTTCACGTATTGCTGTAAAAAAAAAAAAAGAGCTCACTGCCATCGAGTCAGATTTGACTATAGTGACCCCTCATTGGGTTTCTGAGGTGGTATCTCTACAGAAGTAGATTGCCCAGTCTTCTTTCCGAGGAGTGGCTGGTAGGTTTGAACTGCCAGCCTTCTGGTTAGCAGTTAAGTGCCTTAGGCACTATGCTACCAGAGCTCCTATATTGCTGGTAGGAGTATAAAATACAACTGCTTTGGGAAATTGTTAAGTTCTTTTTATGTTAAGCATACATTTACTGTATTTCCCAGCCTTTCTACTCCTAGGTGTTTATGCAAGAGAAATGAAAGTACATGTTCAAAAAATTCTTGTATGTCAGTGTTCATGGCATCTTTACTCATTATAGCCCAAAACTGGAAACAGCCAAGATATTCATTAATAAGAGAATGGATAAAAGAATATGGTATGCTTATAGAGTGGAATAATACACCCTATCTTCACTTATCAACATGGTTAGGTTCCAAAGACTGGGTGGTTGTGCAAAATCTGCATTATGCAAAAATGGAAGATGACTGCTTTGTTGCATAACTGCCAAATCCCTGAGAATCATGGCCCAGCCTAGTTGACACATAACCTTAACTATCACAGTTAACATTATTCTCACATGTACTTTAGTGTTCATTCCAGCCAGAGGTACATTGTTTTAGTGCACAAAAAAGTTGAATAGTAGATTTTCTGTTATTGTTGTAAATGCAAAATGTTAGATAATGAGATAATCAGTGAGAAGAAGGTGTACTTCATAATAATCAGGAATGAGCTACTGATGCATGTAACAACATTCACAGATCTAAAAATTAGACCAAACACATCTGAACAATATGTTTTGTAATTACTAAATGTCAACTTGCTGTATAAACTTCCATCAAAAACACAGCATTACTTTAAAAAAACAGTAAGGCAAACACAAAATATATACTGTAAGGCAAGCACAAAATATGTACTATATGATTTCATTTATGTGAAATTCTAGAGTATGCAGAACTAACCTGTGATGATAGAAATCGGATGATTACTTCTGTGGCAGGAGTGAACACTGACTGGAGAGGGGCATGAGTAAACATTCTAGGGTGCTGTAAATATTCTCTCTTGACAGAGGTGTGATTACAGAAGTGTGTGCATTTGGCAAACTTAGATTTGTATATTATACAGCAATTGAAAAACAAAAATCTTGCCTATAATTCCACTACTTGAATTTAAGCACAGATAACAATCCCAGTACTTTTTAAAAAATACGTATTACAATATTTTTATAAATGGAATCACATTGTACATACCATTTATTAATGTGGGTTTTCTCATTCAAGTATTGTAAACATTTCTCTGTGTCACGAATCTTCTATAATTTTGGCTTTGCAGTGTATCTTTTGAAACTTGCAAATAAAAACTCTTTTTTTCAAATTATTTGCTAGAAATTTAAGTGCAATATCAGATAAAAGCTGAACTGTTTTGGTTGAATTGGAGGGAAGAAGAGTGAATGAATTACATGATCTGTAAGATCTGTTCTGTTGCTAAAGATTTGCTTCTCTGTATAAAAAAACAAAACAAAACTCACTGCCATCGAGTCAATTCCAACTCATAGCGAGCCCCATTGGGTATCTAAGGCTGTAAATCTTTGCAGAAGTAGATCACCCCATCTTCTCTCCACAGAGCAGATGGTGGGTTTTGAACCTCTGACCTTCTGGTTACCAGCCAAATTCCATATCCACTTTGCCACCAGAACTCCTAACTTCTCTATAGGAGAGTTATAAGTTACCATGATCTTTTACTACATTCTTTTTTCCATGATTCTAGTCAAACAGGAAAATAATAACCAGTGTTTGTGGAGTATATATATGGACTAGGCTTTGTTCTAAGTACTTTATGTAAATTAACTCATTTAACCCTCACAGTAATCTTACTAGGTCAGCTGTTATCCCTATTTATAAATAAGACACTGCAGTAGAATGAGATCGGGTGATTTGCCCATGGTCAGAAAGTTGGTAAATGGTGGAGCTCTGATTTGAATTCAGTCCTTCTGGCCCCGTAGCCTACGACTACACTATAGCTGCCTCTCAAAATAAACTAAAAAAAGTTTTACTATAATTGAATTTGTTAGAAGACTTTGACGTGAGTAGGGAAACCATTCCAAACAACTGGACTCTATTTAAATAGTAATATTTTCTATAGGAAATTTTATAAGTGTTTTTATCCCTAGTAAACTCAATTCTGCTTTATACCTATGAAAAGATAGAGAACTTTCTGTGACAGTGTTCCTTTTATGTTTGTCTAGAGCTAGCCAACATGGAAGAGGATCCCAGATCTGCTGGAGTTGCTACATTTGTTCTTCAAGAAGAATTTGATAGATACTCTGGCTATTGGTGGTGTCCAGAAGCTGAATCAGGTAAATGGGTTCAAAGTAATATAGTATAGATCATTTGAAGTATTATGAGATTCAGCTACCAGTTGGTTAAGTGCATAGATTCTAAGGTGATGAAGATTATATCCTGTCAGTAGTTACTTGGAATTTATAGACTATAGCCCACTATAATGAGTTCTGATAAATACATTTGTATTGTGGTTTAGTGCTATAGATTCCTCACCTTTCTTTGTGAATTTTTCACCCCAAAGTTGGTCTTGGTGATGTGAGTGGCAAGAGTAGTAACAAAACAGAAAATAATCACACTTTTAATAATTACTTTAAAAACATGATGGAGCTAGTGAATCTATATGAATAGATAGCCAAGTGAGTGTTTGAATGGATAAGAAAAAAAGGAACAAATTCCTTCTTCTGGGTGAATTTACAAATATTTCACTGCTTAAGAAACTGGAGAAATAGCTCTCTAAAACAGTGACTTTCAAAGTTTTTGACCATGATCCTGTTAGAAATTTGTTTTACATTGTGGCCCAGGATACCATTTATTATATTATATGTATTACTGTTGTTGTTATGTGCCATCGAGTCAGACCTGACTCATAGCGACCCCTCCTTGGATTTCCGAGGCGGTATCACTATGGAAGTAGATTGTCCAACCTTCCTTCTGAGGAGTGGCTGGTGGATTTGAACCACCAGCCTTCTGGTTAGCAGTCAAGTGCCTTAGGCACTAT